TCGATCGATCGCACCTCAAGTTCGATCGATCGAACTTCCCAAATCCCGAGAAAAATCCAAATTCCAGCTCATTAAAAGTTGTCTCATATCCAATCAATAGAGGATTATTAGTGTACGAGCCCAGCTCATTTAGGGTGATTTTTGACCTACCTATATAAGGAATATGAGCCACTTTTTGAGGGAGACTTGACACCTTTGATACATGGCCGGTGCGTCGCACTACCGTCAAGTTTGGAAAGTGTTCATTAAGGTGAGGGCCAAGTTTTACATTTATAAAGCCACTACTACCTTCACTAAAAATATAGTTAGGGCGAGTAGGGATCGTCCCAAGGGATTGCGGATGGTGCTAGGTCAAATTGTGTTGTGGAATCGAGATTAGGGTTAGTAGGTCGAGTGATCAAATAATGGTTGGTTGATCAGTTGTTTAAACTAGAGAGCAACTAAATTAAACTAAGTATGAATGCAATAAAAAGTAAGTAAAAGAGAGAGAGAGAGGTCTTGGGGTTTAGAGGTCACTACCAAGCAATACATTTCTATACCATTAACAAGTGACTAATGAGGGTAAGGTGTGTTGCAATATTGGTGTGTGTGTGTAATTGGTTGGTTCAATTAGCAAGGATGACCAATTAAGCAAGTATTGTCTAAACATCATATGAAAGGCACAATATATCAAACAATGAAGCATATATTGTCTAAATAACATGTAAAAGGCATAATAGATCAAAATAAGTCATTAATCCTTTCATTAAGCTCAGAATCCAAATACACCACAAGGTTAGAGACATATGCTACTTGCATTCAAAAGCATGGAACATCAAACAACAAACATGGATTGTCCTCCCATTTAACACTACACTACATCTACACTACTAGCATGAAAATAAACTAAGGGAGAGGCACAATCCATCAAGAAATAAGTATGGACCATCAATTAAACTACAATAGCATTCCATTAAGCACTATGTTTTGACAATCTCTAGATTTACAGCATCAACACACATAGACATGCATCAATAACATAAAATCTAGAGACAAGCACATGAACATGTACCCTAGCATACATAGACATATGGATAGAATGAAATTAACAATTGGAAGCATTAAACCATATAAATCATTGAGTAAACAAGATCTATATAAATCAAAGTGTCAAAACAAGTATTACAACACTAATCCCTCAATAATACACAAGATTAAGGTAAAGAAAGCATGCTTGGGGCTAACTCTAGCCCCAAGAAGATGTCTAGCCACTCATGGTGATGCTCCTCCAACCCTCAAGGGCAAGCTCCATGGATGAAATCTGCTCCTTGGAAGATGAAAGGCCTCCAATGGTGTCTCTAGCTTTCCTCCTCCTTTTCTTCTTCCCTAAGAATAGCCTCTCTAGAATTCTATGTATCCCTCAAAAAGTGCATCATATTCCTTTTATAGGTAAGTCAAGTGACACACCAAATGAGCTGGGGTCGTGCACCCAATATTCTCTAATGATTGGAGAGAGGGCAACTTTAGTGAACTGGGATTTTAACTTTTTCGCATTGGAGGAAGTTCGATTGATCGAACCTTGTACTTGGATTGATCGAACTTGGCTAAGATCTATCGAACTAAGGTTGGATCAATCCAACTAGGTGAGGTTTTTGGGAAAAAACAAATCCGAGATATTTTGAAGATATTTATGGGGAAAAGGACAAAAGTGGTAGGTGGGTGGACAGCTGTGAATAAGATTAATCATTTGGATGAGGACAAAGGTGTTCGATCAATCGAAGTATAATGTTGGATCGATCGAACTTTGGGTTTTCTATTTTTGGGTCAAGGTTTGGATCTATCTTGAAGTGCTGAGATCGATCCATGTTGGATCGATTGAACCTTCATCTTGGATAGATCGAGAATCTTGAATGACCACCTTTCTTCCTTGTTGCTTCTTTCTTTCTCCACTTTGCTCCTTTCTTTGTTTAATCCCAGAATTGCTCCTTTTAGGCTCTTATTTGGCTGAGTTAGCTTATTTTTGGGATAAGTGCCTAAAAATGGAATTAACACAAAATTAATCTAAAACGGTAAAGTAAGATAGATAAGGGTTCTAGAATGCCTAAGCTTAACGGGTTTAAATACGCACTTTTCAGTGCTCATCACACCCCCAAACTTAAATATTGCTAGTCCCTAGCAATGAACTAGAAAGTAAATGAATGAAATGAACAACTATACAAGTATACAACTATAACTAGAAAGCAATAAATGGATAACACCACTTTCGTAGGGAACACGATTGCACTTAGCATATGCAATAAGCCTTTTAAACCCTTAGGTTACCCCTAGTGGACGAGTGAAGTCTCGTGAGGGTTTCCATAAATGATACCCACAAACATTATGCTCATTCTTTCAAAAGAGGCACCAATATTCCAAACAAGCATTAGGAGAAAACTACCTCAAGCAAGCAATTTTTCAACCATTTCTAAGCAATCTCCCAAAATTTCAACATCAAGCAAGCAAATATGGTCCTTCACACATCAAGAAAATAATCATGCAAATCAAAACAACTCTAGAATCCTTTTTGAGTGGACCGGCATCAAGTGTGTTGCTATCTAAGCCAACTAAAGAATTAATCACATCCTTACCCTCAAGCTAGCACACAAATCTAGTCCCAATCATCAAGACAAAAGAGTGGACCTTTTATTAAAGCTTTATTGTTCTAGGTGCTCTTATTCTTTTCGCTCGATTTTTTTTTTTTTTTTTTTTTTTTTTTTTAGGATCAAAGATGGAAGCATAGTGCAATGTGTTGATTTATTAAGCTTTCTAGTGATTCATGAGATCGAACGTTAGGTCAATGACTCCCAAACCAGACGGCTTTAGGGCATTAGGCATTCAAATACCCCTACGGACTTACAAGCTCAAATCAACTAGGCTACAAATCAAGACAACCTCCATCTAATCATTTCCTACTTCTCACCTTTTGGGAGAAGTCCTCACTTTTTTTATTACTTTTGCAACTTTTCTTCTTTTTTTTTTCTTTTTTTTTTTTTTTAAATTATTAACCTAAAGTTTGGGCCCTTCACCTTTCGGCGCGAGAAATTCAGTGCTTGATGAGGCTAGAATCCTGGCTACTCAATGAAAAGGGTTTGTTATCCACCTTTATAAAAAATGAAAGCTTTCAATGCACTACTAGCTCAATTGGGATATAACCAATTCAATAATCAACAAAGCATGTACCCCACAAATGAATGCTAGTGTGCGCCTGTGCTAGTGTAGAAAACTAGAGTGAATCTCAAAACAGTCACAAAATCAGGATGATATGGACCACAAGTGCAAGCATGATATCAATCTTTCAAAAAATTTACCCCTAAATGGCATCCACAAGGCATACAAGGAGTATTGGACTCTCAAGTCAAGCAATTTTTAAATTTTAAGCAATATAGTCCTCAAAAGATCAAAATCATAGCTAGTCATGGACCAATCATAGAAATATCCCTCAAATACACAAGTCATGCTCAAAATTTGAATTCCAAAGCAAACACTGCAGAGCACCATTCCCCCAAACTTAAATGACACAATGTCCTCAATGTGCAAAGAGAACAAAGGAAAGAGTATACCAGTGCAAGTAAGCAAGAATGATCGAGACTGAAGTATCTGCCTTTGCTCTCCGAATAACGCTCACGACAACCGGCCTCATCACTCTCCTCCTTCCTCTCTTTCTCTCTTTCTTTTCTTTCTTTCTCGCCGCCGCTCTCTGTGTTCTATGGCTTTCCTTGCAAAACCCAGTTCTGCCGAAATAACAATATATATATATATATATATATATATATATATATATAATGAAATTAACTAACCTATTGCTAACCTATATATATCAAGCCCACAACTAATCGAAACAACTACATAGCCCACCCAAATGGCACGTTTGGCATTTAAAAGCAACTACTACAAACTTTATAATGTAAAAATTTTAATTACTACTATTCACACTCACCTTAATAACATACTGCGCACACACACATATATATACCTTAAATTTTAAATAGCAGTAATTATAATTCCATTACCAATCTAACATACTGTACATATATATATATATATATATATATATATATATATATATATATATATATATATATATATCCCATCCATACTGCTAACTAAAAAAATTAATAATAATAAATAAATAAATAAGTAAAATTAAATAAAATACAATAACATCAATGAAAACATTTACAACTACCTAAAAAAGTTTACTATATAATTAACATTAAAATGACAAATAAATAAACACTCCAAATCAAATTTCACCCATAATTCAAATAATCAATTAGATAAACAAATAAAATAAAATACCCATAAAATAATTAACATTTAAATGACTAGCAATTAAACTCCAAAACATATGCGTAAACAATTCAAATTGCTTCCTAAAATAAATGAACAAACAATTCAAATTGCCACGTAAATAAATAAAATGAAACAAAATAAATAAATAAAAACCTTGAAAATTTAGGGGTATTACATTATTCCCCCCTAATAAAGAAATTCCGTCCTCGGAATTCACCTTTTACCTTATTTCAGCAATTCTGAAAATTTTGAACAGATGACATCTTCCTGTTCCCAAATGGACTCGGCCTCATTATGATGGCTTGACTGAACACACACAAGAGGAATAGTCTTGTTGTGAAGTACTTGATCACGACGGTCAAGAATCTGACACTGTAGCTCAACATACGTCGCATCCGGCTACAACTCAATTTCGCTAACATCTATATGCTGATAGCGATCCTTATCTCGAAAAAAAATTCGTAACATGGACACATGGAAGACATTCCCGATGTAGATGATCCAGAAGCGCTAACCGATAGGCTACAGCTCCCACTCGATCTGTAATCATAAAAGGACTGACAAAACATGGTTACAACTTCTCCTTCTTCCCAAAGCACATTAAAGGGAGATACTTTAAGCAACACCTGATCCCCCACCTGAAACTCTAAACTGCGAGTATGACAATTTGCGTAACTCTTTTGCCTACTCTAGGCAGTGCACATGCAATCACGAATAAGAGCAATCTTCTTAGAGGTATCCTTGATAAATTCAAGACCCTGAAATCTGCTCTCACCAACCTCTAACCAACAAACGAGAGATCGATATGGTCGGCTATATAACGCCTCAAACGGTGCTATACCAATAGTCTTCTGAAAACTATTGTTGTAGGCGAACTCTGCAAGTGGCAAATAATCTTTCCAATTGCCATTTAAAATTAAAGACACAGGCATGAAGCACCGTTAGTCTGACAATGACAAGCAGTGCTAAGATGTAATTCGATACCCAAAGCTTGCTGAAAACTCCCCCAAAATCCAGATACAAAGCTCGAATCCCTGTCTGATATAATAAACATTGGTATGCCATTCAGCTTCATAATCTCTGCAATGTAAAGCCTCGCCAACTGTTCTGAAGTGAAATCAGTGTGAATAGGCAAGAAATGAGCTGATTTGGTCATCCTATCAACAATGACCCAAATAGAATTGTGGTTCCAGTTGGAATTTGGTAATCCCTCCACAAAATCCATAAAGATACTCTCCTATTTCCACTTCGGTATACGAAGTGGCCGTAAGGATTTAAGCAGTCTCTGATGATCAATCTTGACCATCTGACAGGTACTATACTTGGAGACAAAGATGGTTATGTCCCTTTTCATACCTGCCCACCAAAACTGTAGCTTCATGTCTTGATACATCTTATCTCCACCTGGATAGATAGAGAACTCAGATTTGTGAACCTCCGTCATCACATTTTTCCTCAAATCATCAGCAGAAGGTACTATTAAGCGCCCTTTGTACCTCAAGCCTCCATCAGCCCCGACAGAGTTAAATGGGACATCACCAGAAGCTAACTCTGTAACTCTAACGATGTATTGTTGATCCATAAGTTGTGCCTTCAGTACTTTATGGATGATAGCAGGTTTAATTGTACCACAAAAACATTAGACAACTCATCTACAGTCTTCAAAGCATTCCATTCTGTAGCAAACATTGCACAAAGACTAGCATAGGGTCGACAACTGAGTGGATCTGCCACTACATTCACTTTCCCTGGGTGACACTGTATAGAGGTGGTAATCTTTCATAAACTCCAACCACCTACGTTGTCTCATATTGAGCTCCTTCTGCATGAAGAGATACTGCAAACTCTTATGGTCACTAAATAGTTTGAAGGACTCTCCCAACAGATAATGTCTCCAAATGCATAAAGCAAAGACCACAACTACTAACTCCAAATCGTGTGTCAGATAATTAAGTTTCTGATGTAATGACCCGGTCATTTTCCTTCCTTTCCTTTTTCTCAAATTTTACAGAAAAAAAATTTTTCCGTTTAATTTTCCTTTTGAGTTCTGTTTCTCGTCACTGGGTGTCTTCTCGAGTGCTTGGAAATAGTTTTTGAGACTCTTTCATTTGGATTGACAACTTCCTTTGAGGATCGAGTCATTTCCATATTTTCACTTTTCGATACTATTTATTTTTCGTCCTTTTCATTATTTTGTCTTTTCCCCGTTTGTCACTTTTTGGCACAACCTCACTTTTCAAGATTGGAGTTGGGTTTTGACTTCATGTATCTTCATTCTAAGTGGTTTCCACGAAATACGTATCTTTACTTTTGCAGAAAAGTACTCTGGTTGCTCTAGGTGTCCGTAGGGATATGGATGCATAGTTCTTCAGAATCTTTTTCTTTTCTTGGGGTGTTTTTCATAAATATCTTTTTAAGATATTTTATTTCAGTGGTTTTTAAGAAAATATTTTTGGAAGATATTTTCATTTTGGGTCATTAGTGCAATTAACCCTTTTTAGAGTGGTTATTGTGCAATTAACGAAAGTTATTGCAAAATACCCCGTTTTGAGCCTGGATCCTCGTACGGGATTCATTTTCATATTTTGTCGAATCATGTACTCTTAGAATTTCCTTCTGGTGGTTTTTCTCCAGTTTCAGGGTTTTTGGACCAAGTTGCCACCGAACTTGTTCGAGGCATATCTCTCTGCTCGAGACTCAGTTTTTGACGACGTTTCTTTTGTTATTCATATTTTCTCATTTTGGTTCTTTTTCAATCATAGAGTTTTGCCGTTTGAGTGCGTCTGCTTAAATTCCACTTTTCCAGACCCGACGGGACCCTTTCAGGGCACTTTTAGGGTTTTACTATAAATAGAATGTCTTAAAATGAAAAGACAACATTTCATCATCTTCCTCCCTCTCTTGGCCAGCAGCCATGGCAGCCAAGGAGCTGCGACCCTTCTCTTTTCTTTTCCGACCACTTCCCTCGTGTAAAATGCCGTAGTGACTTAGTGTTTTATATTCCCCTTGACGTGCTTTACCTTTCCCCCTTATTAGAATCCATTTCTGACCATTTCTGAGTTCTGGTTTTAAATGTACATTCTTTAAGTATTGCATGTTATCGATGCTTATATAACTCATTTACATGTCTTTGTATAAAATCTAGAGATTTCATTATTTATTTTTCTTGTGTGAGATTTGATTTTCCCGGTTGCTTATAACTTAGTTTAAACATGTGGCATGACATTAAATTACCCCTTGGTATTTTCATTGACATATATTAAATTAAGAGCATTTAAACAAGTATTGAAGATTTTATTTAATATTTTTCTTGAATGAAAGATTAATTCATGTGGCCTTAACTAGCTTGAAATTAACATGTGTTGTTATATTATATAAGGTCCTAGCATGCTCTTCAACATAAGTAAATTTGAGAGTAATCGGAGATGTTTTGAAATCTAGTAATATTTAATTAATTTGATTAATTTATTTATTCCATGTGCACTATTCACTCCATTAGATTTCTGACTTGATATTATTGATGTGCATATCATATACTTTCACATATATTTAATCGAGAACATTTGATTAGGTTTTGAAACCTTTCATTTAATTATTTTCTAGTATTAAAGTTTAATACTCATGTTCGTACCTTCCATGGAAAATTCTTGTAACATGCTTTTAAATCAAGTCTTGACATGTTGTATAACATACATTAAATTGAGATCATTTGGATAAATTTCAAAATCTAGAGATTTTAATTAAATGAATTAATTAAAATCCATTCAATGGCTCCTTGGTCTTGATTAAGTTCTAACTTGGTCTTCATGCTTTCCTTGACAAGTTCCTTCACATGTATCAGAGAGTAATCAGATAAGTTTTAAGACTTGCATTTATTTGTTTCTCTTGTATGGAACTTAGTTCACATAGTTGTAACTTGTATTTCATAGAGCTTTTAGCTTTTTATCATGTATCTAAACCCCTTGTATCTTGGTTTCATTAATGTACTTTATAGACTTGCACAATTGTCTTGGAATGATTTAATTACTCATGTGTTGTTTAGTAAGTAATTGAATTATGTATCTTATACTTGTGGTATATTTACTTCAATGGATTTCTTGTGCTATATATCTTGGTTCTAGTCTATATAGATGCACACTGTGATTTCTTGACATTTCACATGCCATTATAGTTGAGAACTTAGGGCATGACTTATGTGTTCCAAAATCTTGGTTGTGCATGAAACGTGGTTAGGGCATTTCTTGTATTTTGATACAATCTTGACTTGCACAACTTGCTTATCTTGGGACTTGGGATATCAATTAAGAATTGACATGGCTAGGACTTAGTTCTAATAAAGGAGATAAAGAGCTCCCTATACTATAGTGCGCCCTAGGGGAAGGTACCTATGGGTTAGTAGCCCTAAAGTGATCCCAAGAGTACGGTTTTAATCCGGGCGATATACGAGTATCCACATTGGTTGATTTCACTCTTTAAATTTCAAGTTGCTATTCCTTGAAGATTTAAAACTTGTCGTGTTATATGAAATACTCCAATCTTGTTTCATTGCATAGATATTAAGCATTATCCTTGATTTCATGTATTCTTCTTATCGTGTTAATTAAAATGTTCCAATCATGTAAATTGCATTGACAATGTGATCTTTGTATTCTAGTATCTTCTTGTCGTGTTGTATGAATTATTCCAAATCTTGTTTAATTGTATTTACAATGCAATTCATGTTGATCTATATTCAAGTATCCTTCTTATCGTGTTCTTTGGATTATCCCAACCTTGATTTATTTCATATATGTATATATATCATGATCTTGTTGATTTATATTCTAAGGTAGCTTAAGATGCTCCCTGAGTCTCCCTTTGACATAGACGTTAGGTGGTATAACCCTTTTGAATTGTTCCATGTTAATGTAAAAATCTATAAGAAATCAAGTCCATGCATGCTCATTTCCTATGAGTAAACTTCTTTACTCACCCCGAAGTTACTGGGGGTATTGTTCAGGTACAGGATTAAAGATTCGGAGATTTGCACTTGCCTTGGGTGGTTTGGAGATTTGAAGTTTCTTTTAAACCATTCTTGTTCATATGCAAGTCTTAGCATGTTTAAGTTTTACTTTTGATGTTGTAACACTCAGTTAGGTTCAATATACCATTTTTGCCTTATGATATGTAAAGTGTACTTAGATACACTATTTGGGACCTATTTGATTTGTATGACATGAGGCCATGGGCCACGAACCTTAATGTTTAAGTGTATGCATTTAAATTCCAAGTCTTGCCTTTGAAATGTAATTTTCCTAACTTTAAGGTTTGGCATGTGAATTGGAGGAAATGTTATGAAATGAGGCCATAGGCCATGGTAACACACTTCAATACTTAAAGTACACTTGTTGGTATGCTTACATAGCTTAAAATCTTGTTTTCGGACCACATTCAGGTTAGGGGTTGAGGCTTGGGTGAAACCTCAACATTTCTTGTTCATAACAGGTCATTCAGCAGCTTTTCAAGTCATTTCAGTTGTCCGAAATGCTAGTTCAGTCGGCCAATGGCTTTCGGAAACTTCATTACACAGTAAAACACTTGTTCCAGTAGGCATTTTCACTGTTTTGGCTTGTTTCGGTCATCCGAAACTCCATTTCGGTCAACCGATGCCTTATTTCAGCCTACCGAAGTGACCTTCCCTTAAAAACATGTTTTTAGCAGAATTTTAGTCTAGTTCGGTCATCTGAAACTCCAATTCGGTCAACCGAAATAGCACTCATTCACTAACCTTCTAGATTTTATTTTAGCACCGATGTTCCAACTTCAAATGGTCATATCTCCTTCATTTATAATCCAAATAGGGTGATTCTTGAGCCTAAACTCAAGGATTTTGAGTCAGATTTCTAATTACCTATTGCATTCTTAGATTCAAATCACAATGGGAGTTATTCAAGTTTTAGTGAAGTGGTGTCAGGATTTGGTCCAAATTGAGAAAGGGTGTTTTGTGGAATTCATGTTCAAAGTTCTTAGAACCTCTTGGAATGTTATGAAATAATTAGTTTAGATTGTGTGGACCTCATTTGACTTGCTTAGAGTCAAATCTCCCTTCTTATTAGTAAATTGACCATTTTGCCCTTGATTAACAGGTTTTTGCTCGTTTTTCTACATCTTATTGTTTCTCCTTCGTTCGGAATCTGAATTATGCGATTCTTGAGTCCATCTTGATTAGTTTTTCATTATCTTTCTAGTGGTGTACTCGGTGGCACCCGAATGCATATTTTAGAAATTACTATTTCGTCCCTAGGGGCTTAATTGTTATTTTTTTCTATCTCTTGCCTACACACTTTATTCCTTTGGGTTCCGTGACCTCATGGAAGGTCATCTTAGGGTCTTAAAGTTGTGTTATGCCTTGGGAGACCATCATCTTATTTTTTGCTTCCGCATCTGGATCCGTTAACGGGTCAATATTCGGTTCATCACTGACACACCGGGTTGAATAAAAACCCGGGTCACTATAAGTGGTATCAGAGTGTCTAGCTTCAACTACCTTGAACGACGGGTTCTGGGTATATATCATGCTCATGTTGTTTTAATTTGATATGT